GACCATCTTGGGGCAGCCAGCCCTTGGCCCCTGTGCTATTAACTACAGATACTATGATTTAGATTTTCAGCAGTATTGTTAGATGAATTAATTTAAACCTGGATCTGACTTCCCTTGTTTTCTAGGGAATGTATTTGTAGTTTGTTTGTGGTCATGTTACAGAGGGGACCCTAAGCCACACATATTGTTAAAAATAACTGATCACTATACTTTCTTGGTTTTACTTGCTCATTGGTCAAAGAATAGGGTTATCAAGGGCTATGTGTAAAATGTGCCTCCTTCCCAAACAGATGCCCACAGTGTAGACTTATCAAGGGTTATAGTAGGGAAGAAGCCTCTCCCTTACTGTCAGCACCAGCTGGTAAACTTGACTGTACATATGTGCATTTTCCTTTTGGTAGAAATGGTCCACAGCGCTAACTGGTAAGGCTTATCGTATAGTCAGTATTATCAGTATTTTTCTGGTTCAGCATACCTTATAGTTCATATATAACCTGTGTTAATTATGTAGATTGTACATTTAAAACTGTTACCAAATTGTTACAAGGTCATATGAATTATTTTGTAAGTATCCTTTGTATCACAACAAAGGAAATGTTTTTATTTTTTTTTTTTAGTTATTTGAAAGAGAGCGAGAGAGTGCACTCAAGTGAGGGGAGGGGCAGTGGGAGAGGGAAAAGCAGACTCCTCCTGAGCAGGGAGCTCCATGCCAGGGCCCTGTCCCAGGACCCTGGAATCATGACCTGAGCCCAAGGCAGACGCTTAACCGACTGAGCCACCCAGGTACCCCACAAAGGAAATGTTTTTATTTACTTTATTTATTTATTTATTTATTTAAATTTTTTTTTTTTTTTTTTTTTTTTTGAGAGAGAGAGAGAATGAGATAGCGAACGAGAAGCAGACTCCTGACATGGGACTCAGTCCCAGGCCCCTGGGATCATGACCTGAGCCGAAGGCAAACGCTTAAGTAACTGAGCCACCCAGGCGCCTGGAAATGTTTTTAAAAAGTCAACTATAATAAAGTAATTTTATTACTTTACACACGTGTGCACACACATACACAAACACAATGTGCTTACATAGTTCAGCACCAGGCCCTACAAATGGAGAATGTAGCTTTAACTCTTCTTTTTCTGTAAACTAGCTTAATATGTGTAATATGCAACTAAAGTTGTATTTATGAAGATTAGAATAAATTTCAAGCTGGTGAGAAAATTTGAAGAAACCATTCAAGATTATCCTTATTCAAGTTTCAGAGCAGTGTTCTTAGAATGGTTGATTATAAAACTTAGCAATGTCAAGTTTTATATTTCAAACAGAATAAATTCCAGTGAAGTTTATTTTTTTTTTTTATTTTTATTTTTTAAAAGATTTTATTTATTTATTTGACACAGAGAGACAGTGAGAGAGGGAACACCAGCAGGGGGGAGTGGGAGAAGGAGAGGCAGGCCTCCCGTGGGAGCCTGATGCGGGGTTTGATCCCAGGTGGGATCATGACTTGAGCTGAAGGCAGACGACCATTGACTGAGCCACCCAGGCACCCCTCCAGTGAAGTTTAGTAAAACGCTGAGAGTTCATATTTATGTACTGTTATCATTACCCTATTATTATATTGACATACTTATTCCATTGAAAAATGAATATTTGATTCAATATGCAGTATAAAACACTTTGCCAGAGAGACTTGTGCTACATAATGTGTTTAAGTGCTACTCCTTATTTTTTTTTTTTTGAGATTTTATTTATTTGAGAGAGAGAGAGAGCATGAGTGGGGGGAGGGGCAGATGGAGGGGGAGAAGCCAACTCCTGCTGAGCAGGGAGCCCAAAGCGGGGCTTAATACCAGGATTCTGAGATCATGACCTGAGCCGAAGGCAGATGCTTAGCTGACTGAGCCACCCAGGTGCCCCTTAAGTGCGGCTCCTTTCTAAGTGAATTACTGATGTGACCTGAAACATTTAAAATGGTTTTGCTAACCAGGTTTATCCTGCAGTTTCAGTTACTCTGTGCTTCCTGTTTTTAGCAGTTGCCTGGAGCTGTTGGGGCAACTGGTTTCCTTTTCTGGGGTGGGGAGGGTGACGTTAGTGGTGAAAGGAACGGAGTATGTTTTGCCTCTGATACATTTTTAAAGCGTGAAACTACAGTATTTCAAATGTTTGGAAGTTCATTTCACTTGTTACTTTTCAGGCTGTATATTTTATGTTGAAACAAAGAATTTTCTAACTGTACCGTATTTGAAAGAAATTAAAATTTGAGCTTTTTATTCAGTATTAGTAATTGCTGTACCTTACTGAAAGAAACTACTCTTAAGCTTGACACTGTAAACAGGTGACAAATGAAATATTTACCTACTTAATAGAAATTTGTCTCTTTTTTTTTTGGCCAGATGATAAAGCATCTACATCCTTACGTTTTGGGGTTTTTTTTTAGATTTTACTTATTTTTTTTTATTTATTGAGAGAGAGACAGCGAGAGAGGGAACACAAGCAGGGGGAGTGGGAAAGGGAGAAGCAGGCTCCCCGCTGAGTAGGGAGCCCCATGCAGGGCTCGATCCCAGGACATGACCTGAGCCAAAGGCAGACGCTTAACGACTGAGCCACCCAGGTGCCCCATCTTTACTTTTAATATTACTATGAAAAATAGTTAAGCATTAGATAGATTGATTCTGTGGATAGAGTTCAAAAGTCTGTCATATAATGTTAAGATGTGTTAGGTAAGATCATAGTAAAATTGTCATGAGGAATTGTTTGAAGATGATGATTTAAGAAAATCTTAACCCCCTTACTTTCACATAACTGTATAGACTACATGGCAGGCTTTATCCTGTATTAGTGATAATCATTTATGTTTACATTTTAGATTTTTTTTTAAGATTTTATTTATTTATTAGAGAGAGAGAGTGTGTGCGCACAAGCAGAGGGAGGTGCAGAGGGAGAGGGAGAAGCAGACTCCCCATTGAGCAGGGAAGCCCAACGTGGGGCTCAATCCCAGGACCCTGAGATCATGACCTGAGCTGAAGGCAGAGGCTGAACAGACTGAGCCACCCAGGTGCCCCTAAAGTTTTATGTTACCTTTGCTGAGAGTGTATAACTTGAATTTTTAAAATAAAATATATTTTGTTTAGTCCATGAATGACCTAAGAAACTGCTTTGAATTTTTCCTACAAATAATTTGAAGAAAGTAATAAAAAAGTTAAAATACATGGGGGAAATCTTTCTTGGAGTAATTACTACCTCTAATTTTTAAGGAAAGAAAAAAAAAAGCATGACTTTTAAAAAAGTTTCACTGAGGTATAAATACATACAATAGGGGCGCCTGGGTGGCTCAGATGGCTGGGCATCTGCCATTGGCTCTAGTTAAGTCCCATTGTCCTGGGATTGAGTCCCACATGTGGCTCCAGGCTCAGTGGGGAGTCTGCTTCTCCCTCTCTCTCTGCCTCTCCCCGTGCTCATGTTCTCTCTGTATCTCTTGGTCTCAAATAAATAAATACAATCCTTAAAAAAAATTGTTAAGAAAATAAATACATACGATAAACTACAGAAATTTAGAGTGTACAATAAGTTTTGACATGTATACACTCGTGAAACAGTCACCATAATTAAGATAATGAACATATCCCTCCCAAAAGTTTCCCTGGGGTCCCTCTTTGCCTTACTGCTTACCCCTAGGCAACCACTGATCTTATTTCTGTCACTATAGATTAGTTTGCACTCTCTAGAATTTTATGTAAACAGGATCATAGAGTATGCAGTCTTGTTTTTCTGCTTTCACTCAGCATAATTTTGAGATTTATTCATGTTATCAGTAGTTCATTACTCTTTATTGCAAAGTAGTATTCCATTGTATGGATGTACTACAGTTTACCCATTCACCTGTTCATAGACATTTGGGTTGTTTTTAGTTTATGGCTATTACAAACAAAGCTGCTATGAATATTTCTTTATAAGTCTTTACATGAATATATGCTTTCATTTCTCTTGGATAATTTCTTAGGAGTAGGAGGGTTGGGACATAAAGTAGATATGGGTTTAACTTTTAAAGAAATAGGAAACTTCCAAAGTGCTTGTACCATTTTTATAGTCTTACCAGCAGTGTATTAAAGTTCTAGTTGCTCTATTTCTTCACCAAGTTTGTCATCGTCAGTCTTTTAAAATTTTTGAACATTCTAGGGGACACCTGGGTGGCTCAGTCGTTAAGTGTCTGCCTTCGGCTGGGTCATGGTCCTGGGGTCCTGGGATCAAGTCCCGCATCGGGCTCCCTGCTCCTCTGGAAGCCTGCTTCTCCCTCTCCCATTCCCCTGCTTGTGTTCCCTCTCTCCCTATCTCTGTCAAATAAATAAATAAAATAATCTTAAAATTTTAAACATTCTAACAAGCATGTAGTGGAATATATTTTTTTTTTAATATTTAAAGATTTTATTTATTTATTTGAGCACAAGTAGGGGGAGCTGCAGGCAGAGGGAGAAGCAGACTCCCCACTGAGCAGGGAGCCTGATGTGGGGCTCAATCCCAGGACCCTGGGATCGTGACCTTAAGTGAAGGCAGATGCTTAACGACTAAGCCACCCAGCTGCCCCCATGTAGTAGAATCTTATTGTGGTGGTAATTTGCAAATGATGTTGAGCATCATTTCATGTACTTACTTACCATCTGTATATCTTTATCGATGAAACATCAGTTCAGATCTTTTGCATGTATATACATATATATATATATATACACATTATTTTTTTGTGTGTGAGAGAGAGTGTGTTCAAATGTGAGGGGGTAGGTGCTGAGGGAGGAGAGAGAGAATCTTAAGCAGGCTCCTTGCTCAGCACAGAGCCTGATAACAGGGCTCGATCTCATGACCCCGAGATCATGACCTGAGCTGAAATCAACAATCAGACACTTAACCAACTGAGCCACCTGGTGCCCCTAGAGTTTTTCTAATAAAAAAAAAAAAATTATAACAGTAAATAGATACTAACCTTAAGCCACTAAATTACTGATTTTCTTTTCTAGAATTCAGCATACAATTGAAATAAAATGACAACCTCCTGGAGTGATCGGTTACAGAATGCAGCTGATATGCCTGCTAACATGGATAAGCATGCCCTGAAAAAGTATCGGCGAGAAGCCTATCATCGGTAAGTATTTTGTCTATTTAATCCTCAAAACATCTCTACAGCAACTCGTAATTACTCATTTGTTTCTAAGCTAGAGGAAAGAGGAAATACTTGGTATTTTATACTTACTCAATTTGTTTGTCTTTATGTTACATACATTTGGCTATGATGTAAGATATTTATCAGTGGAAACAAGGGCCAGAATTATGCAATGAAGAGAGATCATCTAGTATACGTCAGGTGTCATAATTGTATTTAATATGTCATAGCCTGAATGCTTCTGACTCATTTAGAATGATATTTCCTGGAAAATTTTAGACTCTGCACCCTACTTTCTTCATATGGTAGAGTGCAATCTGAAATAATAGAAATAGTAGGAAAAACAGCTTCAAGGATTTAAATTTTTAGATCATTTAAAACTTTTTTTTTCTTTTTTCTTATTGTGGTAAAATATACATAACATAAATTTGTCATCTTAACTGTTTTTAAGTGTATACTTTAGTGGTAGTAAGTATATTCACACTGTTGTGTGCAGCCATCACCAGTATCCATCCCCATAACTTCATTTTGTACAATTGATACTATATCTATTAAACAGTAAGTCTCCGTTCTCCCCTCCTCCAGCCCCTGCCAACCAACCACCATTATACTGTCTGTCTTTATAATTTTGACTACTCTAAGTACTTCATATAAGTGGAATCATACAGTATTTGTCTTTTTGTGACAACCTTAGCATAATGTTCTCAAGGTTCATCCATGTTGTAGCATATTGCAGAATATCCTTTTAATGTAAAATTTGGGTTCTTGAATTCTTGCAGGAATTTGCTTTTGTTAGTTAAAAAAAATTTTTTTTTTAAGATTTTATTTATTTGACAGAGGCAGCGAGAGAGGGAACACAAGCAGAGGGAGTGGGAGAGGGAGAAAGCAGGCTTCCCGAGGAGCAGGGAGCCCGATGCGGGGCTCGATCCCAGGACCCTGGGATCATGACCTGAGCCGAAGACAGAGGCTTAACTGACTGAGCCACCCAGTTGCCCCTGTTAGTTAAAAATTTTTAATAGAAACCATTTAAAAGGAAATTATCTTAGTTTTATAGTTAAGTCAATTTGTAGAATATTCTGTTTCTGGGGCTTTTTATTAAAGACATTTATTGGAGTTGGTAATTTATCATTGGTTACTATGATGATCACTTGTCATAAACTACATTGTATGTGATGCTTTAGAATTCCCTTTTTAGAAGAAGCTAAATATTTTTAGTTAAGTAAATAAACGTCTAACTTCCGGCTTTTTTCTTGCTAATATTAGTCTTTTAAAAATGATGGTCATGAGTCATTAAGAAACTGGTTTTCAGAAGGTATGACTGTTGATCTTCTTCCGTTTCCTTATTATGGTTGTTGAGTCTTCTAGGGTGAGGATAATCATTGGGCCAAACCCTTCATTGGAATAGTTTTGCTGTATGGTCAGAAGATAGGCTGAGCTGCTCAGGTGTTACAGTGGCTTGAAGGAGGCAAGTTAGACAATTATCTCCTAAATAGTTTCTTGTTTAACACCTAGAATCTGACAGTGATCAAAATAGATCAGAATTTGTATCTACCATATCCAACAATGGAACAATTAGATTTTTCATCTGCTCTCCATGTTTGTACCCAGGATGCTGAAGTCAGGTATTTGTTTTTTTCCTTTATTTTGATGATTATAGTGTAGAAGAATTTCTGTAAGGGAATTGGTTCTTTCTTTATGAATGCAGCTTATGAATTCAGCAGTGGTTTTTATCATGTTGAACTGAAATTTGATAAGTAATTGGGCTTGTGAATTTTTGGTTAAGCAGTCTCTTGCCTTATTTTAAAAGACATTGCAATCACTTTGTCTTTGAAGTTCTTTATATATTTACCCCACCCCAAATTTTTAATTGAAATTTACACTTCCAAAGCCATACCAGTGGTTATTTAAATTTGTTGAATAATAGTTTCTTCTCTAATCAGATTTTAAATTATATATGTTTAAAGTTAATAAAAAGGAACTGTAGTACCTGTAGCTTGGCACACTGATAGAATTAAAAGTGGTTATGATTTTTTTTTTAAATTTCAAATAAAAAACAGGTATTAGGTTTTATACAGAGAGAGACTGCCAGGTTGATAAAGTTTAATTTCTTTGTCACTTAACTACTTATGGATATCACATGAATGTCATTTAGGTTTTTAGTTGTGTCATTGATTAAGCTGAATTAACCTGTCATTTTAGTTTGGATTCTCATATTCAAATGGATAAGTTAAGGGGTGCCTGGGTGGCTCAGTTGGTTAAGTGACTGCCTTTTGCTCAGGTCATGATCCTGGAGTCCCGGGATCGAGTTCCGCATTGGGCTCCCTGTTCAGCAGGGAGTCTGCTTCTCCCTCTGGCCCTCCCCCTTCTCATACTCTCTCTCTCATTCTCTCTCTCTCAAATAAATAAAATAAAATCTTTAAAAAAAAAAATAAGTTAAGATTTCAGTAGCCATCTTACAAATTCAAAATCACATGGAAAATATAGGTCTTCGGGAATGTCAAGGAGCTGTGTTCCTTAAATAATCTACAGATGGCATATATCTTGTCAGAATAAGAAGAGTGAGGTAGAGTTATCAGAACTGTTAAACTTTTTTTCCTATTATATCATTCTAATGTTTTGATTAGTATTTCACATTCCTAAGGAATGACAGATGAAGATTCAGGGGCTGGTAAGGTTTTTTTTAGCCTATTTATTTTGCCTAAAACATTAGATCTATAGAATACTATGCAACAATAAAAAGGATTGAACTATCAATACAACTTTGCTATAGCAAGAAAATTATGCTTAGTTAATAAAGCCAATCTCAAAAGGTTGCCTAGTATATGATTCCATCTCTATAACATTCTTTTTTTAAGATTTTATTTATTTATTTGAGAGAGAGAATGAGACAGAGAGAGAGAGCATGAGATGGGGGAGGATCAGAGGGAGAAGCAGACTCCCTGCTGAGCAGGGAGCCCGACGCGGGACTCGATCCCGGGACTCCAGGATCATGACCTGAGCCGAAGGCAGTCGCTTAACCAACTGAGCCACCCAGGCGCCCTCTATAACATTCTTGAAATGAGAAAATTCTGGAGATTGAGAGCAGAGTAATGGTGGCAAGGGTTTAGGGATTGGGGTGGGTACAGGGTGGTGGGCATAGCTGTAGAACAATGGCACAAGGAATCCTTGTGACTGGAACTGTTTTGTGTCTTGACTCTAGTGATGATTACACAAAGGCTCTACATACATGAAAGCTTGTAAAACTGGTGAAATCTGAATAAAGTTGGTGAATTGTGTCAATATCAATCCCCTGGTTGTGATAATGTACTATATTTATGCAGGATATTTTCATTGGGGGAAACTAGGTGAACGGTAAGGGGGAATCTTTCTGTATTATTTCTTACTACTGATATGAATCTGTAATTATTTCACTATAAAAAGTTAAAAAATTCAGTCACATGCCCTTTTTTTTTTTTTTTTTACATCATAGGTATTCTTTGTGTCTTCTAGATATAAGTGCTTTTCATAATGCGTGGTGATACAAATTTATGGAATACAAATTCTCTAAACTTTATTGTTCAGAAGAAGATGGTGGCTCCTAAAACATTCTGTTTGTTTCTCTGCCACCATTCCCTATATGCTTCTTCCAAAAACCTGCCTTAAAGTAAAGTAGAAAAGGGATGGTGGTGACAAGGGAGAGAGAGAAGAGATAGCAGATCTTTGATTTAATGAAATCGTGTAATAAACACAGTTTGAGGAAATGTTACTCCTATTTAGATAGCATATTTCACCTTCATAGACTCTTTGTGTAGAGCTTCTTTTATTCAAAGTAATGTCTGAGAGATAGATTCATCCATATTTTTTTGTGTGTATCAGTAATTTGTTCTTTTTTATTACTATGTGGCATTCTGTGGTATCAGCATACCACAGTTTATTCATCCATTTTCTGTTTATGAGCCTTTGGGCTTTTTTCAGTTTTTAGCTATTAAGGCTGCTACAGACTGAGAAAATATTTGTAAGTCACCCATCTGATAAAAGACTTGTATCCAGAATGTATAAAGAAGTTTAAATTCAACCCAATGAAGAAATGGGCAAAAGACTGATTCTTCACTACACAGGATATATGGATGGCATAAAAACACATGTGTAACATCAGTAGCCATTAGAGAAGTGCCTTAAAACTACAGTGCATATGCCTATTACAGTGGTTAAAATAAAACAATACTTGATATTATCAAGGATATGGAGCAACTAGAACTCTCATACATTGCTGGTAGAAAGACAAAATGGTATAGCCATTCTGCAGAAACAGTTTGGTAGTTTATTATGAAGTCAGAGACCCTTAGCATGTGACCCAAAATCTTACTTCTAGATGTTTGCCCTAGATAAATGAAAACTTACGTTCACTCAAAAAACTACATGAGTAATGTTTATACTATTTCTATTTATAATTGCTTCAAACTAGAACCAACCCAATTATCCTTCAACAGTAAAATGCAGTATACCTACAGTGAAATATAACTCAGGAAGGGGCGCCTGGGTGGCTCAGTCGTTAAGTGTCTGCCTTCAGCTCATGTCATGATCCCAGGGTTCTGGGATTGAGCCCCGCATCGGGCTCCCTGCTCAGCGTGAAGCCTGCTTTCTCCCTCTCCCACTCCCCCTGCTTGTGTTCCCTCTCTCACTGTGTCTCTCTCTGTCAAATAAATAAAATCTTAAAAAAATATATATATAACTCAGGAAAAAGGAACAGACTATTGATGACACAGCAACCTGGATGACTCTCAAGGACATAATGCTGAGTCTAAGAAGCCAGTCTTGGGGCGCCTGGGTGGCTCAGTCAATTAAGCGTCTGCCTTCGGCCCAGGTCATGATCCCAGGCTCCTGGGATTCAGTCCCGCATTGGGCTCCTTGCTCAGCGGGAATCTGCTTCTCTCTCTCCCTCTGTCCCTTCCTCTGCTTGTGTTCTCTCTCTGACAAATAAATAATATCTTAAAAAAAAAAAA